GCCGAATTTTCTATCACGTCACGGTTTTGTTCTTTTTTTGTTTAAATATTGAAGAGATTGAGATGATGTAAGTTTTAGAACGAATTATGATGTCAATATTTAGAGTCCATATGACATTTATTTGTGTTACTATATATTTTCACTTATACTGTAATTCGAATTATTTAATAATTTTATGGATGATGATGCCTATAAATTTTGATCTTGAGGAAAATTCAGTTCCCGCCACCCGCTTTTGGAAAATGAAAAGCATGATGCAAGGAAAATGCCGAGTATTGTGAGGTAAATTACAGAACCGCAGAATGTGCAACACGTAACCGCGCCGTGAATTGGACGGGACCTCGAATACATAAGGTGCTGCGGTGAGATCGTCATTATTATTATCATTATCTTAATGAAAATCGAAAATGGTCATCATAATTGGTTGACGAAAAGGTTTATTAATTGGAATTCGCAACACTGTTACTATTACTATTTGCATGTTTCAACAAGAAAGAGAATAAAGTTTATCGGCTTGGGATATTTTTATTTGACAATCTTGTGAAAAAGATATGGCAGTTACGTCATTCTCTTGAAATGTTTTGATGCGAAATAAGAAACAAAAATTTAAGCCACCGGCTTTGATAACAAAGCCATCGCAAAATCTGTGGCTAGACAAAAACAAATTGAGGCTGGTGCAAACGAGAGAATTAGTTTACTCGAGTTGACTACTTTTAAGGAACAAACATTCCATTCTTTCAAACAAATTTTGGTTTGGCTTGGATTTGCGTCCAATGGTCATTAGCGAAGGCGGCTTAAAATTTTTCCTTAAAGCATAATGAAAGTCTATGTTGAATTTTTGCTCGCATTCCAGATGATTTCGGCTTGTTTTTGACACATCAGCATTCTTAATTCTCTTGATAATGTGTGGATATCTGAGCTTATGCGTAAGTAATTCTACATTGTGACTTGCTTATCATAACGAGTCTCGAATTTATATGCGACCTTTCCATTTCGCGGGATCATTGATATCATGGGCAATTTAGATGATGGAGGCCTTTTAAATCATTTTGAAAAGCATCAGTTTACAACTTTTTATTTCTTATAAGCAATAAATAAGAAGAATTCGCTGGTCCGTAACTAAATTATCCTTTGCCTGCAGCATCATTATCATCATCCTTTGGAGAGTAAACTGACATCATCATCGTCATGTTCTGGTCTCATAATCCAACACGTCGACAGCTCGTTAATTTCGCCATCCTCGTAAGCATCATAACTATTCTTTCAAACATAGTCGAAGGTGTATTATCAATGATCCTTGGGAGTCAATCAAATTCAGTCAGTCTCGTAATATTCGGAATTGGTTCGCTTGTTGAGATGACCTCATCATCCCTGGTCCTGTGGCGTTTTCACTCTGAATTTCGAAAAGAGCCCACGGAGTTGGACAAAGATGCGTATGTTGAGAAGGAGCGTAAAGCAACGTTGGGAATTGGTTCGCTATTTATTATATTGGCGGCAGGAACATTTTTACACGCAATTATTTCTTTAAGTCAAAGGAGCCATCCCGAGAACACGGTAGCAGGTCTCGTGATTTCTAGCATCTCTATTGTATTGATGTTATTTGTATACTATTGCAAAAAATATTTGGCGATCAAATTGGATTCCTCGACAATGGCATCGGAAGCGCGATGCTCGCTGGCATGTATTAAAATCACGGCGGTGCTTTTTTGCAGTAGCTTACTCTACATGTTGTGGCAGAGAGCTTGGTGGGTTGACTCGGCAGCTGCTTTGATATTCAGCATATTCTTCGCCAAGGAGGGTTATGAGATGGTGATATGGGCATCGAGCAAAAATTTTACCGGGGGATACATGCACGACGAAACTAAGAATGATAATAAACGAGAGATCAGTAGTCAGGAGGTTAGTGAGCCGGTTGAAAAATTCGAAGGCAGAGATGATGGTGGTGGTGAAATTTATACCATTAGTGAGAAAGAGGAAGACTATTCGGT